TCCATAATAGCTTGCCTCTGGAAACCCTATGAACCTGGAGAGAGGATGAGAGACACCCAAGCGTTGAGGACTCTCCGTCATAGGGTCACTATGAGTTGCCTGCGACTCGACTGCACTTAACAACAACAACAACATGTTGTTGTTGTTGATTGTCTTTGAATTGACCACAACTCATAGCGACCATATAAACAAAAGGCCTGAAGCTCCTCTACAACTATCAACATTTATCAAAGTTCATAGAATTTTCAGAGGCATGTTGTTTAGGAAGTGGATGCCACTCTTGCTTCCAAACCTGCCATAGTATGTTATTGTTGTTATGTGTCAATGAGTTGCCTGCGATGTATAGTGACCCTATGTACAGCAGCTCTGAACCTTTCCCTGTCCTGAGCTAGTCTCACTAACTCCAACACAACAACCCCATCACCCCAATTACTGTATCAATACATCTCATCCGAGGTCTCCCTCTCCTGTTCTTTCCGCCCACCCTTCTGAGCATGATGTCCTTCTCCAAGGACCGATCTCTCCTGGCCATGTGCCCAAAGTAAGTGAGGCAGAGCTTCAAAATCCTAGCCTCCTAAGAAAGACTTAGTCCTCTCCAAGACAGACTTATTTGTTTTCTTGGCAGTCCATGTTATGTTCAAGAGAACTTGAAGGCATCTATTCTTCTTCTGTAATCCTTAGTCATTTTCCAACTCTCTGAATCATAACAAGTAATTGAAAAGACCATGGCCTGGATTAGGTGCACCTTTGTATCTAGACTGACATCATTACTCTTCAGCACTTTGGAGAGGTCTATGACAGCAGATCTTCCCAATGCAATTCATTTTTGCATTTCCTGACTGCTGGTGTTAAGAGTGTTGATTGTGAATCTGAGCAAGCTGTAATTGTTAACAACCTCAATCTCCCCTCCATTTAGTATGGTGCTGCCAATTGGCCCAGTGGTGAAAATCTTTGTCTTCTTGATGTTGACAATGTTTGCTATACGACTTTACTTTTCATTTAAAATTCTACCTAAAATTATGGCCTATCATAGGAGGGACTGGAAAGCATTATGCTAAGCGAACTTAGTCTCATAAAGACAAATATTGCATAGAACTGTTATTGTAGGGCATGTATGAAGATCCAAGGGGGGTAGGGGGTTAAACACAGGGTCATATATTTGATGGGTAGAGGGAGGTATTGGTAAAGGAAAAGGGAAAGGTCCAGTACAAAAAACAATGTATATGAACTTTATGAACTTTTTATGCAAACCAGTATAAAATTTTCACCTAACTTGAGAGGGAATGAAGATCCTCATGCTGAGTGAACTAACTCAGTCCCACAAGGACAAATACTGTATAAAAAACCATTATTATATAATGAGTACGAGGATCCAAACAGGGGACAGGAACAGGAGGGTGGAAGCATATGTGTGAGGAAGTGTGGGGGGATTAATCATGGAGTCGTTCAATTTGATGAGTGGGTGGGAGTGAGGGAAATGGGAAGGATCTGGTATGAAAACCAATGTATTTGAATTTTGTAAATAAACCAGTATAAAAAAAAAATCTGTTTCTCATTCACTTATATATTAAGCAAAATCTTTTCCAGGGCTTGGCATTTACTTTAGATTTCTCCCCTACTTAAATTCATTTATTATGTTTCTTTTCTGACTCAGACTGGTTTGAAGTAAAATGGAACCCTGGTGCTACATTAAGTTAAAGGGCTCAGCTGCTAATCAAAATGTCGCAGTTTTAACACTACTGATCACTCTGCAGGGAAAGAAGTGGCAGTGTGCTTCTACAAAGATTTACTGTTGTTGTTGGGTGCTGTCAAGTTTGACTCATAGTGACTCTATCAACAAAAGGTCTGAAACCTATTCTGTCCTGTGCCATTCTCACACTTCCTGACACACAAGCACCCATTGTAGCAGTCATCATGTCAATCCACCTAGTTGAGGGTCTTCCTTTCCTTTTCCAACCCCCCACCCTTTCCAGCATCATGTCCTTCTCCAAGGAATAGCACCTCCTAGCAACATGTCTAAAGCATGTGAGGAGAAGTCTTATCATTCTTGAAAGAAAAACACGTAACTGGCCAATTAACATCTAAGACTTCCAGCTCTGGAGTTGTAAATGCATCAGAATATAATGAAAATAAAAATCTTGGAGGAGTAAACCATAAAGCATTTGATCTTATGGTTAAAGGTGTGTAAAAGTAACTTTTATCTTGAAGATTTTAAATGGAAGTTTTGTTACAATTGAGGCAGAAGAAAATTAAAATAAGTCCACAGGAACCAAGACATGATCTTGAATCAATTCTATTTAAACTTCAAGATCAGCTTAGAGATAGATTTGAGGTATTGAACACCAATCATTTAAGACCAGATGAGTTGTAGGATGATATAAAAAATATCTTCATGAAGAAAAGGTCATTACAAAAAACAGATGAAAAAGAAAATGAAATGGATGTCAGAAGAGACTCTAAATATTACACTGCAGCATCAGGAAGCCAAAATAAAAGGAAAACATGCCAAAGTAAAAGAGCTGAAGAGAAAATTTCAAAGGGCAGCTTGAGAAGACAAGGCAAAGTATTCTAATGGAATGTGCAGAGAGCTGGAATTGGGGAATTCTGCAAAGACTTACAACCTAGGAAATCCTAAGGAGCAGTTCTACTCAGTCCCATAGAATTGTTTTGCATCAGAATCATCTCAATGTCAGCGAATTTGGTTTTGGGTAAAATATGGTCTCATCACTAACCATGTGGGTATGATTCTGAGGTAAAAATGAAAAGTCTATCAGGGTTAATATATTGTAGACAGACTCTCTTCATAATATCTGAAGATTTTATTTAAAATAGTATCTTGTAAAAAATCTTTCTTGTAATACTTTCTTCTATGTGTATTATATTCTTAATATATTTCATACACACTTAATTTAAAAACATTAAGGTTAATTTTTTTTAAATTACGACTTTCTCTGAATTTGTACAGTAGCCAAGTTAATTCAGGTTTAAAAGAATCAAAAGGAAAGGAGAAGTCAATTCAAATAATAAGTTGTATTAAGTGTGAGAGAAAATCAGCCAAACTATACTACTAAAAAAAATCATTTTTTAAATTTTTTTACTGGTTTTGAAGAAATAACAGCAAATAAATGGTGTGTGTGGGGTGTGTGTGTATGTATGTATGTATGAATGTATGTGTGTGTATAGTTTTCAAATAGGTAAAAAATGTGTTCTTAAAACTAAAACAAGGCGGGGGAAGGTCTGAACAGAGGGGTGAAGATTGGCAGGGTGGAAATCACAGAGTTACGCAGAAGAATTTAATGAAATAACATATGAGCAAGAGCCTATGGCGATGAAGGAGGAAGTTCAAATTGCTCTGAAGGAATTTGCAAAAAACAAGGCTCCAGGAGTTGACAGCATACCAACTGACATATTTCAGCAAACAGACACTGCCCTGGATGTACTCACTAAGTTGTGCCAAGAAATCTGGAGGCCAGCCAGCTGGCCGAATGACTGGAAAAGATCGATATTTGTTCCCATTCCAAAGAAAGGTGACCCAACAGAGTGTGGAAATTTTCGAACAATATCATTGATATCAGATGCAAGTCAGATTCTGCTGAAAATGATCCAGAAACATTGAAAATGCCAGGTGTGCTTGCTGGATTTAGAAGAGTTAGTGGTACTAGGGATATTATAGCTAATGTTAGATGGATCTTAGAAGAAAGCAAAGAATACCAGAAGAATGTCTATCTGTGCTTCATGGACTACGCAAAGGCTTTTGACTGTGTGGATCACATCAAGCTGTGGCTGACTCTGAGAAGAATGGGAATCCCAGAACATTTGATTGTGCTAATGTGAAATCGATACTTGGACCAAGAGCAGAACAGAGCAAGGAGACACTGCATGGTTCAAAATCAAGAAGGGGGTCCATCAGGGATGTATTCTGTCTCAAAACATTTTTTTTTTTGGTGGAAGAGTCATCACCAACCTGTGTTATGCAGATGACACAACCCTGCTTGCTGAAACTGAGGAGGACCTGAAGAGTTTGCTGCAGAGGATCAAGGATTGCAGCCTTCAATATGGATTGAAGCTCAACATCAAGAAAACAAAGATTCTCACCACTGAGCCAATTGGCAACATCAGTATGGATGGTGAAGAGATTGAGATAGTTTTAGTTTGCTTGTTTCCATAGTCAACACTCTTGGTAACAGCAGCTAGCGAATCAGGAGATTAATTGCACTGGGAAAGTCAGCTACGAGGGACCTCTCAAGAGTACTGAAGAACAACGACGCCAGGCTGGAGATTAAGATGCACCTGATCCAGGCTATAGTCTTTGCAATTACGTGCTATGCATCTGAGAGTTGGACAGTGAATAGGGATGATAGAAAGAGAATTGATGCCTTTGAGTTGTGGTGCTGGAGAAGAGTATTGAATAAACCATGGACTGCTAGGAGAACAAACAGGTTTGTCCTGGAGAAGGTGAAGCTGCAATGCTCCTTGGAGTCAAGGATTCTGAAGCTTCATCTGACATACTTTGGGCATGTTGCAAGGAGGGACTGGTTCTTGGAGAGGAACATCATGTTTGGCAGAGTAGAGGGGCGGCACAGGAGAGGAAGACCTTTGATGGGATGGATCAATTCTGTGACTGGAGGGGTGGGAATGAGTGCGTTTGAGATGGCTAGGTTGGCACAGGATAGAACAGCGTTTAGAGTTCTGGTACATAGGGTCACTATGAGTCTCAAGGGACTCAATAGCACATAATAACAACAGCATCACAATTTGATAGGTGGAGGGAGGAGGCTGAAGGAAATGGGAAAGATCCAGCAGCGATCTGGAAAGATAGGGTAATGGTGGGCATAGTTCAACAGTGCTAATTGTATGAAACACAATGTGGTTGAAGGCTAGTGTGAAATACAATGTATATCAACTTTGTAAGCTAACCAATATAAAATATTTTTTAAAAGAAAACTGGGGGGGAAAGACAAAACAATAACATTTTGGTTTAAAAAAAAATCAAAACTCACCCCACAATGAACCACAGCAGATCTCAGACGTGAATTCCTTTTTATACATGTGAATCAGTGGTTTTTCACATGTAGAAGAAGTACCAAGTGGGTTAACATTGATATCAGAGGGTTGCTTATGTGGTTCCTCGGGTACTTCCACCAATCCAAAATATGCTAGAAGATAAAAGGAGAAGTAAGAGAAAAAATAATTGCCAGTCTATACATCATTGTTCTTACATGTTTCCATAAATGAGACACAGACTAGAAATTTCCTTTTATTATACTGTATTTTATTTCCTACTGGAAGTATTCCCGTGATTCTTGACATATCTTTCAGAAAACACAAATAAGGATACTTAAAATATATTACTGAATAGGAAAACATTCATTTACTGTGACAAAAAAAAAACAAACGAAGAAAAACACCAAAATCCAGATGAAGGACTTGATTTCTCAATTGGTTTTTTTAAAATTTATATACCATAAAGATACAGTAAGGACACACACACACACACACAAGCATATATGTATGTATATGTTGTTATTAAGCACCATTGAGTCAATTATTACTCATAGCGACCTTATGAATAACAGATCTGAACCCTACCGTATCCTGCACCGTCTTCACCATCTCTGATATACTTGAGCCTACTGTTGCAGTCACTGTGGCAATATATCTCACTGAAAAATCTTCCAAGCACATATAAATCTGAATGTATGCTTGTGAAGTGGTTATCAGAATGATTTGATTATTACTAGAGCATGAGACCCTGAGCAAACAGTGTATTTAATGTATGAACAGATAACATTTGAAGGCAGTCATGAATTGAATTGTATCTGCCTCAAATATGTGTTGAAATCCTCGATTTTGTACCTGTGGCTATGATCCTATTTGGAAATAGGACTTATTTTTTCTGGCTATGTTATTGGGGTCATGCCAGTGTCTTTTAAGTGATAAAAGGACCAGAAAATATATAAGAATACAGACACAGGGGAACACAAATGGCATGTGATGACTGCCTAAACATCAAGGAATACCAAGGATCCAAGAATCACTTAGGGCCACAAACAAGGAAGGAATCAACATGACCAAGGCTTGATTTGGATTTTTAGCCTCCACAAGTGTGGTAAAATAAACTTCTGTGCTTTAAAGTCATTCACTTGTGGCATTTCTGTTATAGCACCACCAGGAAATAATGACAGAGATCTTATTAAACCCACTCACAGATGGCATTAGCAAAATCACCATTAGTAGACACCCTGTACCCTAAACCATCACAGGGAGACAAATGGCAGGATGAATAACCTGAATTTGGTGATGATTCCACTCTGTCCTTACTGCCATTCTCATTATCAGGTGCTGGTGGTGTACCACCTGAGCCAGTAATGGTATTTGAGGCCTCACTTCCAAAACTTGGCACCTAAAGAAAAAAATTAAAACCCATTAAAGTTTAACAGTGAAAGATGTATGCCTGAGGATCATTTGTAAAGAGAACACAAAATATATAACATCCCTTATTTTTGTTGTTGTTTTGTTATGTGCCATCAATTCAGAACTGATTATAGCTGATTCTCCAGCATGTTTTCAGAAGCTGTAAATCACACAGGAGGAGAGACTGCCCATCTTTCTCCCACAGAGAAGCTGGCGGATTTGAACCCTTGCACTTGGGTTGCCAGCACAACGCCTGGATATACTAGGATGCCAGAGCTCCCTTCTCTTATTTTTAGATTAAAAACAAAATTCACACTTAGTAGTAGAACTTAAGAATGCTTTCGCTACAACCAGGAGAAGATAAAATAGATGAATGGGCCCTTCTAAGAATCAAATCCCTATGCACATTCAAAAACTTCTCCAACAGGGTAAAAAAGGAAGCCACAGACTGGGAAAAAGTGTTTGGTAATGACATGCCAGATAAGGGACTTATATCTAGAATTTATAAAATACTTGAGCACCACAACAAGACAAAGGTAAATAATCCAATATAAAAATCGGCACAGGATATGAATAGACACTTCACCAAAGAAGACATTCAGATGGCCGACAAGCACGTGAAGAAATGTTCAAAATCCCTAGCTCTAAGAGAGATGCAAATCAAAACAACTATGATATATCATCTCACCCCAGTCAGAATAGCAAAATTTAACAGAACAGCAAGCAACAAATGCTGGAGAGGTTGTGGAGAAACTGGAACCCTTATTCACTGTTGGTGGGAATGTAAAATGGTGCAACCACTGTGGAAGGCGGTTTGACACTTTCTCAAAAAGTTGCAAATAGAGATACCATTTGACCCAGCAATTCCACTACTGGGAATATATCCCAAAGAGACCATAACTGACATCCAAACAGATATGTGCACACCCATGTTTATCGCAGCTCTGTTCACAATAGCAAGGAGTTGGAAACAACCCAGGTGCCCATCAACAAATGAATGGGTAGAGAAGGTGTGGTATATTCACACAATGGAATACTACGCTCCATTGACAAACAAGGAACTCATGCAATATTATTCAAAATGGGTGAGCCTGGAGGACATTATGCTGAGTGAAATATCTCAGTCGCAAAAGGACAAATATTGCATGGTGCCACTGCTGTAAAATGGGACTGATATCAGGGTTGGGGTAAGACTGAGTAAAACTGGATAAATTGTATATACTGCACTGAAACAGATGAGGGACTGAATAATTTAAAAGCGATGTATGATAGGGTATTATGGTTATCACAAGAGTCCACAATTAGGGTTGCATAGTGGAATGTACTTGGGGCGGTGGGAGGGGTGTGGGGGGATTGTGTACCAGGGAGGGAGTCTTTCTTCTACTTTTTACGAGAGGAGTGAACTGGGGGGTGGGGGGAGAGGGCTGGGCGGGGAGAGAAGTGCAGCAATGAATGAATGGAAATCCAAATTCTCTGTAAATGTTCATTAAAATTATTTAAAAAATAAAATATAAAACAAAAAAACAAAAAAGAAAAAAAGAATGCTTTCAAAAGGAGGAAACACCCAGATTTATATTGAGAGAATTAATATGAGAGAAATAGCAAGAGGTGTCATTTCCTCACCTGTACAATTTGGAAAGCTAATATGTATGGTAGCATGAGTGGTGCAAAGAGGATGCTAGTAGTGTAGACTGTAGGGAGCTGTGCTGCTAAACCAAAGCTGGGACCTCTCTGTGCATTGGAATCTGAATCTGCCAGCTGCTCCTTGAGAGAAAGAGGGGCGGTTTCTTCTCTTGTAATCTACAGGCTCTAAAAACCTCCTGTAGGGTCAGTTACGAGTCAGTACTTTCCAATTTGATGATAGTATGTTTGAATTTGAGAGGTGCAAATTGTTTGAGATAAGTTAGTAGCTGATAAATTAGCTTTAAGTTGTCAAAGTTTGGCATTTCAAACCCTATCAACTGTGTGAACTGCAGAAGACAGGTCTGGTGAACTGTTTATTTAAGGAGTACAGACAAAATCTTATGGAGCGATTCCAGTCTGTAACACAGGAAATTGCCATGAGTCAGGGTCAACTTGACAATGGTCAACAACAACAGTATTTATGAAACTTTTTTTTTGGTATAACAATGAAAGAATTTTATTTTTTATTTATTTATTTTTTTTTTTTTTTCACAGAGAAAAGGAAACAGGGCAGGGGAGGGGAAGGAGGAAAATGTGCTACAGTGAGTGAATAGAAACCCATGTTCTCTATAAACTTTCATTAAAATATAAAAAGAAAAATGTTCTGGGATTCATAGTCTTCTCAAGGTTAGCCACAAATTGTGATCCACAAGGTCAAATACCTTTGCATAGTCAATAAAACACAGACATACCGCTGGTACTCTTTGCTTTTGGCCAAGATCCATCTAATGTTGGCTATGATATCCCTAGTGCCGCACACAGCCTCTTATAAACCCAGTTTGTACATCTGGAAGTTCTCTGCTGATATACTGTTCCAGTCATTTCTGGAAAATCTTCAGCAGGATTTTGCTTGCATGTAATTTTAGTGATACTGTTCAATAATTTCCACACTCTGTCAGTTCAACTTTTTTAAAAAATGGGATTAAATCTCTTCCAGTTAGTTGGCCAAGTAGATATCCTCCAGATTTCTTGGCACAACCTAGTGAGCCTGTCCAGGGCAGCATCTGTTTGCTGAAATATTCAATTTGTATTCAATCAATTACTGGGGCCTTCTTCTTTGCCAGTTCCTTCAGAGCGGCTTGAATTTCCTTCTTCTTCACCACTGCCTCTTAATCATAGGTTGTTTCCGGAAATTCCTCTCTGTCAGTCAGTTCTTTTTTGGTGCAGTGACACTGTACTCTTTCCATCTTCTTTTGATGCTTCCACGGTCATTCAATATTCTGTCCTCAGCATCCTCAGTATTACAACTTGAAGCTTAAACTTGTTCTTCAGTTCTTTCAGCTTCAGAAATGCCCAGTGAGTTCATCCCTTTTTCATTTTCTTACTCCAGCTCTTTGCACATTTCATTATAATACCTTGCTTTGTCTTCCCGAGCTGCCTTTTAATTCTCTGTTCAGCTCCTTAACTTCTTGATTTCTCTAGTGCAATATTCAGAGTATCTTCTGACATTCATCTTGGTCTTGTCTTCCCCCCCGCCCCGTCTTTATAATATCTTTTTGCATTCTTAATGGATGATATTTTTTATATCCTCCCACAGTTCATCTATTCTTTGCTCATTAGTATTCAAGGCTTCAAATCTATTCTTGAGATGGTCCCTAAATTCTGGTGGGATAGACTCAAGGCCACACTTTGGTTCTAGTGGATTTGATTTTCTTTTCTTTAGCTTCAGTTTGAACTTGCATATGAGTAGTTGATGGTTGTTCCACAATCAGCACCTGGCCTCATTTTCACAACTGATATTGAGCTTCTCCAGTGATTTTTCCCCCCACTGATGTAATCAGTCTGATTCCTGTATTATGCCAGCAGATGAAATCCATGTGTATTGTCCGCATTCATGTTTCTCATAAAAGGTATTTGCAATGAATAGCTAATAGATTGTGCAGAATTCTGTCAGTCAATCCCCAGCTTCATTTCTGTCACCAAGTCTATGCTTTCCAACTAATTATCCTTCTCTGTTCCCAGGTGACTCCAGTCACCCATCATTATCAAGGTGTCTTGGTTGTATTTCAGTTCAATTTCTGACAGCAAAAAATTGGTAAAAGTCATCTATTTCCTCCACTTTGGCCCTGGTCGTTGGTGCATATATTTGAATTATTGTGGTACTAATAGGTCTTCTTTGTATGTGTATGGATATTATCCTGTCACTCACAACATTGTATTTTAAGACGGATCTAGAAATGGTCTTTTAAACTATGAATGTGACCCCATTTTTCCTCACCTTTTCATTTCCAGCATAGTAAATGGCGTGATTATCTGATTAAAACTGTCCCATGGTGGAAGCATATTGGCAAGTCTAATGTTAACAAGTAAAAGCTAAAAAGTAATAAAAATTTTAAAATACTCCAAAAAAAAAACAACAAACACTGTCCCATGCCAATCGATTTCATTTTACTAATGCTTCATTGGTCAATACTTATGCATTCTGTTTCTTCCTTCACAATTCCAATTTTTCTACATTCACTCTTCTCACATTCCATATGCCAGTCAGTCGTGTCTGTTTGCACCTGTTCCTCCTCTAGTGTGATTCACAGAACAAAGGGTCTACCTCCAGGGCCATATCTGCTTGTCTACTCTTTTTTTTTTTTCAAATAAAACTTTTATACGGATTTACTTAACAAAGTTTGTATACATTGTAGTTCACACTGGATAGTTCCCATTTCCTTTACCCACCCCTTCTACTACCCATCAAATTATGCAACCCTATGATTAACCTCCCCCCATAGTCCATCCTCACCCCTCTGTTCCCACCTTCTCCCACTTGGATCCTCATACACATTTTACTAGTTATCTTTCCATTTCTACAATAATGATCTTATACATTATTTGTCCTTTGGAACAGAGTTTATTCACTTAGCATAATGCTTTCCAGTCCCTCCCAAGTTAGACGGTGATTTACAAAATCATTGCTCTTGCATACTGCATAATATGAATATACCATAATTTCTCAACCCATTCCATTGTAGCTGTTTCCATGTTCTTGTGATGATGAATAACATTGCTGTGAATATTGGTGTACAAGTCTCCATTTGTGCCTAAGTTCTTATTTTTTCAGGGCATATTCCAAACAGTGGAATAACTGGGTCATATGAAATTTCTGTACTTAGCTTTTTGAGGAAATGTCAAACTGCCTTCCAGAGTGGTTGCACCATTTTACAATCCCACCAACTATACTTAAGAGTTCCTATTTAACCACATCCTCTCCAACATTTATTACTTGCTGTCACTGCTACTGGGGTGAGATGGTATCTCATTGTGGTTTTGATTTGCATCTCTCTTATTGCCAGTGATTTTGAGTATTTCTTCATATATCTGTTGCCATCCAAATATCTTCCTCTGTCAAAATTCTTTCCATGTATTTTGTCCATTTTGTAATTGTCTTATCAGTCTTTTAATTGTGGAGGCCCTATAGGAGTCTGTAAACTTTTGATATGAGACCCTTGTCTGAAATAGTATTGCCAAATGTTTTTTCCTAGTCTGTAGGTTTTCTTTTCACTCTGTGGGAAAAAGTTTTGATGTGCACAGGGATTTAATCTTTAGAAGGTCACATTCAAAACAACAACAACAACAAAAAAAAACAATCAAAAAAAAGAAGGTCACAATTCATCAATTTTATCCTCTTCATATTATGCATTTCTAGCTTTATGTGGCATTCTCTTTGTACCATAGACTAGGCTGTCTAAGAAACTTTTTAACAGTCAAGGTGCTAGGCATCTTGTTTACATATCTTTGTGAATTTTTAGAGAAAAAAAATGCAATTATAATTATTTCGACTTTGCTAGTGTTGTTATGTGACGTTGAGTCTTTTGCAACTCCTAGCAACACTATGTACAAGAACCCTAAAACCTGCTCTATCCTGTGCCAACCTCACTGTCTGCCACACCCACTACGATTACCCCAATCACTGAATCGATTCATCTCATTGAGGGTCTTCCTCCCCTGTGCTGTCCCTCCACTCTCCCAAACATGATATCTCTCTCCAAGGACAGGTCCTCCTTGCAACATGCCCAAAGTATGTCAGATGAAGCTTCAGAATCCTTGCCTCCAAGGAGCATCCCGGTTTCACCCTCTCCAAGTCAAACTTGTTTGTTTTCCTATCAGTCCATGGTATATTCAGTACTCTTCTCCAGCACTATTGCTCAAAGGAATCAATTCTATTTTTATCATCTCTAATCACTGTCCAGCTCTCCAACGCATAGCACACAATTGCGAAAACCATGGCATGGATCAGGTGCACATTACTCTCCAGCCTGATGCCGTTGCTCTTCAGTACTTTGGAGAGGTCCCTGACAGCTGACTTTCCCAATGCAATTAGTCTTTTGATTTCCTTCCTGGCTGCTGGTAGCAAGAGTTTTGACTGTGGAACTAAGCAAACTGAAATTGTTAAATATCTCAATATCTTCACCACCGATCCTGATGCTGCCTTTGGCCCAGTGGTGAGAATCTTTGTTTTTTTGATGTTGAGCTTCAAGCTATATTGAAGACTGCAGTCCTTGCCATTCTGCAGCAAGCGCTTCAAGTTCTCCTCTGTTTCAGCAAGCAGAAGCAGGGTTGTGTCATCTGCATAACTCAAGTTGTTGATAAATCTTCCACCAATCCTGATGCCACATTCTTCCTCACACAGCCCAGCATCCTGGATGATCTGTTCTGAATACAGTTTGAAAAGGCTTGGAGGCAGAATACATCCCTGGCAGAAACCCTTCCCGATTTTGAATCGTGCAGTGTCTCCTTTCTCTGTTCTGATGACTGCATCTAGCTAAAATTATTATTAGTGAAATTTAATGGTTTCTTATGGTCCTGTTGTATACATCAGCTCTGACCTATCCTGAGACAATACCATCATCTCTAACAAACCTAATCCTGTTTTTCCCGTCACTGAGTCAACACATCTAATCTGGGGTCTTCCTCTCCTGCACTGTCCCTTCATCCTTCCAAACATCATGTCCCTCTCTAAGGACTGGTCTTTCTGGCCACATGCCCAAAGTATGTGAGATAGAGCTTCAAAATCCTTGCCTCCAGGAAGCATCCTGGTTTCACCCTGTCTAGGACAGACCTATTTGTTCTCCCAGCAATCCACGGTATGTTCAACACTCTGCTTTATCACCACAACTCAAAGGCATTAATCCTTTTTCTATCATCCTTCATTACTGTCCAGCTCTCTGATGCATATCAAGTAATTGTGAAGACCATGACCTGTATCAGGTGCACCTTAGTCTCTAGACTGACATTGCTGCTCTTCAGTACTCTAGAGAGGTTCCCTAACAGTAGACTTTGCCAATGCAATTCGTCTCTTAATTCCCTGACTTATGGTGCCAAGAATGCTGATTGTGGAACTAAGATAGCTGAAGTTATTTACAATCTCAATCTCTTCTCTGTCTACCATGAAGCTGCCAATTGGCCAAATAGAATCTTTGTTTTCTTGATGGTGCAACGTCAATCCATATTGAAGACTACAGTCCTTCACTTTCTATAGCAAACAATTCATGTCCCACTCAGTTTCAGCAAGCAAGGTTGTGTTATCTGCATAACATAGGTGGTAGATTGGTCTTCCTCCAGTCCTGATGCCATATTCTTCCTCATAAAGTCCAGCCTCCCGAAAGATTTTTTTTTCATATAAATTGAAAAGGTTTCAAGCTGGGATGCACTCCTGATGTACACCTTTCCTGATCCCAAACCATACAGTGTTTCCCTGTTCTGTTCTGACTACTGCTTCCTGGTCCAAGTATAGGTTTCACATGAGCACAATTTAGCGTTCTGGGACCCACATTCTTCTCAAAGTTCACCTTTCGCTCTTATTGTCATCAAGTCAGTTTCCATTCATAGCTGACCCTCCATTGGTTTTCCAAGGCTATAAATCACAGGGAAGGAGACTTCTCGTTTTTCTCCCATGCAGCTGCTGGTGGATTTGAGTCACCAGAGAAGCTTGGGCTTTGGGTTAGCTGCACAACTTACAAAGGGCTACATCACAAAAGCGTCCTTGGCCTATGATAGGCACAAAATATTAATGGAAGAAATCAACAAAGAAAGGAAACAAGAAAAAAGGGGAGGATCCTAACTTTCCAGATGGTATCCAATATGCGTAGTTTGCAGTACAGGTTAAAAACGGACCTATTTTTCTGTCTGCATTTCTATCTGTATATCGATTGTGTACCCATCTTGAGTCCTTGGGTGGTGTGAATGATTAATGTGTTTGTCAGCTAACTAAAATGTTAGAAGTTCAAGCCCACCAAGAGGAACTTCAGAAAAATAGGGCTTGGCTGTGTATTATTACTGGAAGTTTACAGCCTTAAGCACCTTGTACTGTTTATTTTTTTTAATTTTCTGCTAGTTTATTTACAAAATTAAAATACAAAATTGAACAAATTCTTTCCATTTCCCTCACTCCCTTACTCATCAAATTCTAACCCAATGATTAATACCCCCCTTCCTCCTGCACATCTACATCCCTCTACTTCCAGTATCTCCCACCCCTCCTGGATCCTTATACTCATTCTTCAATAATGGTTTTATACAATATTTATCCTTATGGGACTGAGTTAGTTCACTCAACATTATACTCTCTAGTCCCTCCCAAGTTAGGTAATAATTTACAAAGTTATTGCTTCTGCATGCGGCATAGTATTCCATTGTGTGTATGTACCATAATTTTTCAATCCATTCATTTGTGGTTGGACATTTGGGCTATAACACAAACACAAAAAGGGCAAAAGACATGGAAAAAATTTTCACAGAGAAAGATATTCAAATGACTCATGTAGAAATGCTCTAAACCACTGGCAATAGGAGAGATGCAAATCAAAACCACAATGAGGTACCACCTCACTCCAGTAAGAGTGGCAAAGTTTAGTAGGGAAGCAAGTAATAGATGTTGGAGAGGATGTGGCAAGAAAGGAACTCTTAAACATTGTTGATGGGATTGTAAAATGGTGCAAACATTCTGGAAGGCAGTTTGGTGCTTCTTCAAAAAGCTGAACATAGAAATTCCATATGACCCAGCTACTCCACTACTTGGATTATACCCTGAGAATATAAAAACTGAGGCACAAGCTGAGATTTGTACACCAATGTTCATAGCAGCATTATTCACCATTGCAAGAACATGGAAACAGCCCAAATGTTGTAGTGCATATTTTCACTCTGCTAAACATTGAATCATCATAATTTTGATATGACTCCATAGCAACTGAAAAAAAAATCACCCAACTCTTCTCTCAATATATCTATCTAATTAATATTATTAAAATATAAGTTTTGTAGCACATTAGGAGATTTCTAGTTTTCATAAGGAATATTTTTGAAGTTTTCAGGTTTTTTTATTTTATTTTTTTTTGTGTGTGTGTACCATCAAATCAGATCTGACCAGTACAGGAGGAGATTGTCCCTCCTTCCTCAGCAGAGCATCTGGTGGATTTGAACCGTGCACCTCTGGGATTGCAGTGCAGCTTCTTGCCACTAGGCCACCAGAGCTCCCCGAAGTTTTCAGTTTTAAAATACATTCCACCATCCAGCACTTTTGTGGTTAAAAAAAGTTGAAAAAAACTATGTATGACAGGGCAACATATCTCTATTAATGCCAAGAATTCATAAAGGTTTTTAGATACAATTTTATCAATAGATAGGTTGTTGATTATTATGTTTTTCCCACAAGACATGCTCATCACATAAATTCTATCACATTTTTGGTTTTTCTTAATCCTTTCTTTTCTGTAAGTTTGTATAAGCAGGCTATATTTTCAGTGAAACATGTTTAAGGCTATGAAGTAGGAAGTCATGACTAGGAATGCTGTATATTACAAGAAGAAACATACAATGAGATGAGTTAATTTCATTTTAAAATGGTATTTTACCTCCTGCTGATGTTCAAAATCCTGGGATGCTGGTCTCTCCAGGTCTGCAACATTCACCTTAGAGCAGTTTTCTCCTTCACAGAATTGATGCACTCCACTCTCTTCATTGGTTCCATTGATTTTATCTCTACTTCCTTCCTTGCTTCCTCTCCCCCTACTCCCTTCATGGTCTACAATGGTCACATTCTCTTCATGACTTTTAGGGATTCCATAGCCTCCACAGGCTCCTTCACTTTCAGCTCTGCCATTTTGGTTGAAGCTACTAGGAATGAATTAAAGAAAGTAACCCATAAAAATATATATATTTGAAAGTTTGCAAAATAAATAGAATGACTCTTACATGTATTTATCATATCAAGCTACATTTTTGCTCAGTGTGATCACTTTAAATTTAGCCTATTAGAATTGCTTAGACTAGAAAATGCTTATATGTCCTGTCAGTCTTAAATACTGAATAAATACCATAGTCATTTGAATGGCAGGGCAATAGTATCCGCAATGTTTGTTAAGAATCTATGTTAGATTAAGAGCAAGAACATGTATTTTTTCATAAATAATCTTCAGTTGAATCAAGTTCCATATTGTCTGCTCAGTCACAATCTATTTGAATAATTCTTGCAATATATGTGATTTATAATATGCTAATTTGAGTCTTCATCTTGATCTTTTAACATGTGTTAATTGCTTTGTTATAAAAAGTCGTTGCCTTACAAAACATTATCATTAACATAGGTCTCATTAACATAGATCTCATAACATGTTCATTAACCTAGATCTTCTAGAACTGCAATAGTCCTTTGGTGAGTTGCTAAGAATGACAAACTTAACAAAATGCCTCAATGATCCATTTTGTACAAAAGACTACGTTAAACATGAGGGTCCTTGACAATTTCAAAGGCAAACTTACTTGATAAAGGAATTCCTGGTAGACTTTTTGGTTGAGACAAAAAAAAGAGCTCTTGGTAATTTCTCCACCAATTAAGCAGATAAAGATATACAAATGGCTATCTCAACTGAGAAATACCTAACTATGGAAATGAAATTTACTATATAGAAATTATCAAAAGGTTACTCACCAGGGTCATGCCTATTTATATGCAAATTTCTCATAATGATTGTTGTTGCTATGTGCTGTCAAGTCACTTGCGACTCATAGCCACCCTATGTACAACAGCCCTAAACTCTGCTCTGTCCTGTGCCAATCGCACTGCCTCTGACACTCCCATCCCGATTATCCCAGTCACTGAATCAATCCACCTCCTAGAGGTCCTTCCCCTCCTGCGCTGTCCTTCCACCCTACCAAGCATGATGTCTCTCCAAGGACCGGTCTGTCCTTCCAACATGTCCAAAGTATGTTAGACAGAGCCTCAGAATCCTTGCCTCCAGGGAGCCGCCCAGTTTAAGCCTTTCCAGGATGAATCTGTTTGTTTTCCTAGCAGTCCATAGTACCCTCAATACTCTTCTCCAGCACCATAGCCCAAAGGCATCAATTCTTCTTCTATCCTCCCTAGTGATAGGAGACTGTAAATAATCATTTGCCTCTTTTCCCCTTTGACTGCTGCCCGTCAACAAGTATTTCAGGCAACAAGTGAAAAGGGAAATGCCAACTTACAGTGATATCTGTTCACTTTCCACTTGAACATTTCCTCTCCCTTATTTGCCTTTTCTAAAAGTGGTTTAGATTCTGTAGACAGAGGGGTTATAGATATAAGGGAAATATGCTCTGAACTAACAAATCTAATATAAGAAAATACTCCCAATATTTATTTATAAGCTTAGGCAGGTAACAGCAATTTAAATCATTCATTCAATTGTGCTATAGATTGCAGACAGGTAAATCAACAAACAACAAATTACATAAATTTTTTTTTTCAGTTTTTCCTGGGAGGTAAAAATTCTTCCAGTAAGTATCAGATTTCTCCAATTCATTATAGTTATTATTTCACATATGTGTCACATCTAGAATATTTGTATAAACAAGAATGTTAACCAATTTTCTCAAAATTTCAGCTAGAAAATATTTCCATTCCAGAACTAAATTCAAAGCTTCTTATTTGACTGATTTAGGGTAGGACTCAAACTATAGCACTTTTTTAAAAGTTCTCCAGATTATTCAGATGTAAAATCAGGAATGAGAATCATATATCAGTAATATAGGTAAATTGTGACAAAACTTTCTATTATATCTATGCCAAGCAACAGTGGAGACATTAATATTAGACATTATGAGATCATATCTGCAAGAACACTTTACTGCTCAGGAAATAAGTTTTTTTACGTTCATTTCAGAAAATGAGAGTTTTAAAAGCAAACAAGAAGAACACAAATGATTTATGTGGTAATGTTGTGAATACCTAGACAAATGCTCAGAAAATTTAGTCTATAAGGAATAATTTACAGAACACTTGTAGTGGAAATAGTATCCTTCACATTTTAAAAGTATCTCTTCAGGCTTTAATTCAAGTGACTTTTAGAATAAAATTTTAAAGAAACCTTGTATCTAATGATAAAAAAAAATGGAGAACACTTCGATTTAGTTCTAAATTCTTCATTCAGGCTTGCCTAATATTGTTGTTACGTTTCACTTCACAATGTTATATTTTATATACAATTTTGGTTTTTTATGTGCTCTAATGGTGCTGAAGGATATGTAGTTTTTTCTGTCATGCCACCTCTCCCAATAAAATTATTTGAAAATTTTGAAATGTGATATATGGTACTAATGTTATAAGCAATTTTCCCACTCAATGATTTATTTAAAAATAACTAGAGATAAACAACAAACTATGTAGACACTTAACAATTGAAATCATGCTAAAAGAAATTGATGATGCTATTGTCAGGTGCCTTCAAGTCAACGAGGATTCCCAGAGACCCAATAAACAACAAACCTGAACTTTACCCTATCCTGAGCTATATTATTCACCAAATATCATTTTGAGTAACCACTCTATATGAAGGGAGCTATGGTGGCCTAGTGAAAATCCGTGCTACCAATCCAAAGACATATGGTTAAAATCCACTAGCTGCTCCATGGGATAAAGATGAGCAATCTCTTCCAGTGCAATTAACTGCCTCTGAAAACCTGCTGGAAGGTCAACTATGAGTCAATTCCAACTTGATTCTACATAAGAACAACAACAACACAACTGTATTTGAAGATAAAAGTAGATGAGTACTGAATTAGGTTATCATAGTTCCCAAATTTCACAAATAATACTATTTTAGTGATTTGCAGCCTGAAAATATTCATGATAGCTTATTTTACAATTCACTTTTACTCAGCAAATTTAGAGCTTTTGTTCACAAACCAGGGCTTCATTTTATAGTTATTAAATAGCACACTTCATTTATTAACCCATTTCTTACACCAATGTGCATTTACAGGTAGATCATTTATTTAACAGTAACACCCACCCAGATAAGTTTCAGTTATAAAGAGCCTAACAAATATTTGCTAATGAATTTTTAAAGTAAATGAAATATGCATAGAATTCTAAAATAGTATAACTGCTCTCTCTTTCTCCCTTATTGTCACTGAGTTGGAACTGACTGATAGCTGACCCTTCATTGGTTATGTTTTCAAGAGGCTGTGGGAATCATCAAAGAGGCACTTCTTTGGGGTTTGCAGCACAACTCTCTATAGACCACAACATCAGAGCTCCCTATATAGGATGAATTGTTGTTGTTATGTACCATCTAATCAAACCTTACTCATAGCTAACGCTCAAATGGATTTTAAGAAGCAGTAAATTGCATGAGAGAAGACTGCTTATCTTTGTTCTGCGGATCAGCTGGTGGATTTTGAAACGCTTACCCAAAACACATATACAAGTAATCTAGGAAAACCTACCTTGACCAGTTAGGATCATCATGACTATTGCATTCTTTACCAACAGCCTCATCATTGTTGTCATCATCCTCAAGGCCTTCAAAGACATCATCAGCCTGATCAATCTGGTTATTAAAGCCCTCCTGTTCATGGTCGTAAGTATCTTCATAAGCATCATTAGAATCATTATTACCATCAGCATTAGCTTCAGTATCATATAGTTCAACATATTCACCATCTTCTTCAGGTGTCTGAATGACAGGTGCAGGAATTAACCAATCATTCCGGAAGATACCAGAGAGTGCATTATAGCCTACCCATTCATTTGTCAAGTATACAGGGGGTGATATTTTTCCCACTTTAAAGCCGTCTGGAACCTGTGTGCACAAAGAAAGGATAATGTAATCTCTAGCAGTCTTTCATTTCTTTCTAGATTGGAAAAGTTTCCAAAATTAAAACTTTTTGAAAATATTTTTTTCAATTAAATGAAAATATTCACTCTCTGTGGGGAGTCAACTTCTATTAAAGATGAGATGGCAATATACAAACCTCAACTGTGGAAATTAATAGCCTTTCTGGATCACATAGTGCAAAACTCATCCACTTTGTTTTATATTGCCCTTACATGTTTGCTGAAAAGTAGATACTTGATTTGATGCAGGAGAATAAAATACGTAATGTGATCCTCTGTAGGTACAGTTCCCGTTTGCTTTTATTTTTTCCTAGCTATATTAAGGTTAACATAAGGCTTTGAAACAGATAATAATTTCTCAGCTCTTGTTTTACGGGCCATATATTGCCTTAATATCTCAAATATCTTTAAAAGCAATCTAATGTAAATCCGCATTTTAAATATGGTATGTGTAATATAGCACCTTCGGAATCTCTGGGTGTTACAAATGGTTAAGTGTTCGGCCTTTAAAGGAAAAGTTAGCAGTTTGAGTCCACCTGAAGGCATTTCAGAAGAAGAGAACAGCAATAAACTGCTGAAAGCTCAGCCAATAAAAAATTTATAAAGTGTAATTAATATAT